CCCCCCCCCCCCCCCCACCCCTCCTCCTCCTCCCTCATTTTGTCACCATCCCAACACCCCTCCAGGCATCCTTCACCATACAAAGGTTACAAGTCATCTCAAGTAACAACAACTTACTTCGAGGACTGATTCCAGCTCCAACTCTTAATCTTCCTTCCCCTCACCCTTCAAGGGTCTTCTGCAGCTGGGTTCTCTCGTTGCAAGCTGCCCAGCTGGCATCTCGCGAGATGTCAAACCAAGCCATCCTGCGCATTGGCCGTGTATGCAACCTTGCCCCCAACCCCCTCTAGTCTTTGTTTCTTCATGGTTGGACAAATGGGCCTTGCACCCGTTGTTTTTGGTTGTTAACAGGCTTGATGTGGTGATTAGGAAATCAGCCAGATCCAGCATGGCACGGACTTGTGTAAGACTATCTTTATTTTTCTTTTTTCTTTTTCAATTTTTTTTTACTTTTCCTTTTTCTCTCATGTATTTCCATTTTTCGGTCCTGCAAGGGACAGGCAGGGACTTGGTTCTTTTTTCTCTTTCGTTGCCGGTTCATCAGCGTGATTTATATGTATAACACTTACTCACCTGCCTTTCGAAATCCTTACAAACATGCAGCTCTCGCTGTAGCTTGCAAGGAAGCAGATATTCGTAGTATCAAGGCCCTGATCGTGGGTCCTCCTGAAACACCTTACGAATTTGGTTTCTTCGAGGTTTGTGTCTCCAAGTTCATCATCGACCCGTTTGTTTATCTACGCCTTAGCTTATGATGAAACACGCTGACCTCGTGTCTCTAGTTCTCGATTAAATTTCCCGAAGGTTCGATTCGGATTCCTTGTATTCTGATCTCGTGCTGATCTCATGCTGATCGATGCCTTTTTTCGCCTTGACTCAGATTACCCTGGAACTCCACCAACTGTTAATGCTACGACCACAAATGGCGGCAGATGCCGCTATAACCCAAACATATATGCTTCTGGAAAAGTTTGCCTGTAAGTGACAGCTATTGCCAGCTGCATTGGTCCTCCACTGACAATCGTGCTCTAGGTCTATACTTGGGTATTGTTTTATTCCCATATAGCAATAGCTTTAGCTTTTATTCTGACTCTAGTAAAGGACGTGGCGTGGTGAAAGTGGAGAGCAATGGTCTTCAGCCCAAGGCCTTGAATCTGTCCTGATCTCTATCCAGAGTTTGATGTCCTCTAACCCGTATGAAAATGAACCTGGTTTTGAAAATGCCAAGACGGAGCACGATTTAAAAAACATGGCTCATTACGTTGCTAAGGTTAGAATCCCAAATCCCCTTTCATGTAGGAGCTATCTAACAGCTCTGCCTCTCCAGATTCGCCACGAGACTCTGCGTATTTCAGTCATTCAACGACTTGAAGAATTCCTGGGCATCCAATCAGATGGCACAATTTTCCCTCAAAGCTCCGAGGCTGGTCAAGAGTCCGAAGAAGAGGACCGTCTGACTCCGGACGATGATCGCCCGGTTTTTGAACCGTTCGAGGATCTTTACAAGCGCAGATTCTTGTGGTATTACGAATCTTACGTGCTTGCTATCGACGCTGCGGAACCTGAAGTTACCCCGGCACAAGCTTTCAAAATGATGCCATTCGAAAGCGCTGGCAACACGATGGACGGACGCTTTTACTACCCAGACCTCCGCAACCGCCTTGGCCGCATCAAAAAGGCGATTTTCGATGAGACCGAAAACTGGGCCGTAGAGGGTCTGAAAGCCAAGGCTAAAGATACCCGGATCGCAGTCAACCTCCAGCGTCAGCACGAGCAGATCGTCGAAGATCTCAAGGACAAGAAGAATTTCATGATCGACCTCGGTCTACAAGATGATAACCCTTTTGTCTGGACAATGACATACTTTGGTAAACCCATGACTCAGTTGGATGGTGGCGTCTTTCGGATCAAGATCTGCTTGAGCCCCAATTTCCCCGATGAACAGCCACGTGTCATTGTTCAGACACCCCTGTTTCACAATCGTATTTCAAAGGATGGTGTTCTTTGCTATTTTCCGAAGAAGATGGAGGAGATGAAGTCGCATGTCCAGGCTATCATTGAGGCGCTGGAGGATGAGAGTCCACCCTATGACCCACGCACGACTGTGAATCCGGAAGCGTCGAAGTTGTTCTGGGGCTCTGCGGAGGATAAGAAGAAGTATAACCGCCTACTGAGACAGTCTGTTCAGCGGAGTATTGAGTGAGTATTTTGTTTTCTCTCCGTCCCTCCCTCTTCTCTTCTAACCTCCCATGTATATTTCAAAGGAAGATGTTAAAAATGTCACTTTTCATTGACTAGGGAGTGATCTTCTTGTCAAAGCAAAACCAGCCTTTTGTTGTTTGAATCCAACTGGATAGGTCAAGCTTTCCTTGGTTTGAAAGCCAGGTTAACTATCAGATCAGTACTCTTGTGGCTCAGTCATTTTCATAACCACACTTTTTTCCGATGCATGCATGTAGACATATATAAGCTCTGCAGTTACTCTAGTCAGACTTCCTGTTATCTGGTTTTATCCGTTCCCCGCCTAGGGTGTTTTCTCCATTATGTTGCCAGCACATGACCTCTACGATTGAGAATTATGACTTTCTTTTCTCTTGTTTCTTTTTATCTTTTTCCTTTCTTTCCTTTCCAGATGCACAGATGTTAAGCGCAAGTCTAACCGGTTTTGTCATTCTTTATTTCCTTTGCTTGAACCACTGTCTCTCTTCTTGAGTTTCTTCTCCCGTTGCAGCAGGTAGATTATCTAACCTTCCTATCGGTACCATACCTCAGTAGATCGGCAGATAGAGGAGGTATGTTTGCAACAGTTTAGTTTACTGAATCCACGGATGTTTTGACAACTTTGTTAACGGACTACTTTACGTCACACTTTATCAGACAAGACATCTTTATTTTCAAGACAGCAATTGAATACTTGTTGCTGATTGCCGTGTGCTTACTTTCTTTCGCCTTCTGTGGTTACACCCACGGGACGAGCGTGATCCACGCCCACGCTAGCCCCAATTCGGCTAGTCCGTATGAGCAGCTGCAGTCAACTGCATTGGTCCAAGCTTCTTGTCCGAGATTTTTCTTCCAACACAAAAATTGATAATACGACACTTGGCTCAGGGGTAGTCGTTTAACTTTTAATTCCGCCGCGGCGCAATAGTTAAATACCAACCTCACGTAATAATTATCAACTCCCCGAAACTCTCCCATCTCCGCTCTTAACTCCGTACATACCATCCGTCGATGTGATCATCAAGTTTTAGAATAACCTCGAAACCGTTCCTTATCCCGCGGCTGATCCAAACATTGACCATATCTTGATAACGTCCCCGATCCAACAGAACAAAAAAATCCGTCATGACAGCCCCGCAGACCATTGAGCTGGGCTCCGTCCTTATCACGGGTGGCTGCGGCTTTCTAGGCTCTCACATCGTCGACCAGCTCCTCAACTTCCCCTCTGAAGTCTCCGAAACCTCTTCCACCAACTCCTCCACAACCTCCAGTAAAGACCAACAATACATCCCCAGTCCCATTCGGAAACCCAATGGCGAGCCCGATATCCGTTTTAACCTCCCCCGCCTTACGGGCCGCTATCCAACCTACAAAAATACAAAGGTCTCCGTGCTCGACCTGCGGGTAGTGCACAATCGATTCCCAGGCGCCGACTACTATGAAGGCGACATTACGTCCATTGATTCTCTGCTGGAGGTGTTTCGGAAGGTGAAACCGGATGTAGTCATCCATACCGTCGCTCCAGTGTTGCTTCAACGAGATGATACCATTATGTATAAGATCAATGTTCTTGGGACGAAGAATTTGGTTGAGGTTGCTGGTGGCCTGAAGGGGGATTGGGGTGGGGTTTGCAAGGCGTTTGTCTACACGAGTTCTTCATCTGTGGTGCACGATTGCGTTAGTGATCAGATTCGGGTGGATGAGAGGTGGCCGCTGATGCTTGGAGAGTTGCAAAATGAGTATTATACAAAAACCAAGGTGTGTGTTCTGATTCTGCCTCCATCTCTACCTCCATCTTAATTAAGGAAAAAGATGAAGAAATCAAGAGACCTAACTTGCTTATCTTGTTCTTACCAGGCCGAAGCCGAAGTGACAGTTCTGAAATTCAACAAAACTGCACCGTCAGGCATGCTAACCACCGCCATACGACCCGCTGGCATCTTTGGTGAGCGCGACACGACCTTAACAAAGAGCATGGCCGACCACGGGCGCAAGGCCTCACCCTTCGTCCTGCGCTTCCAACTCGGCACAAACGACAATCTATTCGACTTCACCTACGCCGGCAATGTCGCCTACGGCCACACGCTAGCCGCCCACTGCCTGCTGGAAACTTACAAGCGTCTGAAATCTGGCGGTGCCGCCCCGCTGGACTATGAGCGTGTCGACGGCGAGGCGTTCAACGTCACCAACGACAGCCCCGTGTACTTTTGGGATATGGCCCGGAGTATCTGGGCGTACATGGACAAGATCGTCGAGCCGGATAAGGCTATTGTGCTGCCTGAGGGGGCGCTGACGGTTATTGGGGGTATGTTGGAGACGGTGTACGGGTTGTTTGGGAAGAAGCCGAGGTTGTCCAGGAAGGAGGTTAGGTTTTCGTGCATGACGAAGTATTATTCGTGTGAAAAGGCGAAGCAGAGGCTTGCGTATACGCCTGTGGTGCCGATGGATGAGGGTGTTGCTAGAGCTATGTTAACAGTATTGCAGAGGGAGCAGGCTCCTGAGGCGAAGAAGGTGTTGTAGGGGTGTTTTCCTTCATTATTTTCTGTTTCTATTTCATTTTCACTTGTCTCCATTATGGGATATCTGCGGGATATTTGTTTTTGAAGGGAATTGGTGTACAATATATCATGATCACATAATGATCTATTCAAACTTCTGTCTGGACACTTTGTGGATATACTAATCTCTATGATATAGGTGTTGATATGATGGCTAGTTGAAGCGGAGAGAGATAGTTAAGATTCAGATGTTAATAACATGAGTGTCGATCTGCTGAAACAGATTATCTACTTGAAATACTGATACCTGTATTTATTTTTTTTTTTTAAAAAAAATCATATTAAGCAACAATTATACGAAATTACACCAAAAAAAAAATCCATTATTTCTTAATTCTATAAACTCGTAGAAGCTTCATTTACTGCAATGTGCTGATGCTTACTATTTTAGTACGTCATTGTAAATGACAGAGAAATATTGAAGCAACGAACAACCGGTTGCTAGTAAGCAGCCCAAGAATATGACTGTGCGTGTCCCGGACTCGGCCGAGTTTGTAGACGCCTAATTTCCACGGCCCCAGCAAAACTTCCTGTTGGAGGGGTTGATGACTAATCCAACTATGGACATCCATTAGCCAGGGTTGGGAAACCATGGAAATGTATGTACCGTTACAGAATATTACACACCGCATTCATCCTTCGTGGCGTAAATGGCTGCTAATGACGTCCTGTTCTGCCAGTATCAGAAGAGCGCCGTACAGTAACATACAAGGGCTTCCCCGAAGCGGATTCCCCCCGTACTGTTCGTAATATTGGTAATCGTCCCGTTTTTGAGCCGCCTCTTGTGTTGATGGGGGTGTTTTTTTTGGCTTGCGGATTTTGTTTCGAAGACTGAAGACTGCCTTTCGCGTCGTTTGCTTCTGCGGTCTCTAACATCAGTGGGATCTCTGGTTTGCGCCTGTGTGTGCTGCGTTTGCATTAGACCGACAGACCTAGCACCAAACTGCCTTGTGACTCTTTGTTTCAACTGGAATAAACCCTCCTCGACCACGACTGGCGACCCACAGGAAGAGGAAGAAGAAGAAGAAGAAGAAGAAGAAGAGTGTGTGAGAACTGACAGACTGGGAGAGTTTAAAGATAGAGAGAAGGTGTATGTATGGAAGGAGGAGAGAAGGACGATTGTTATAGCATATCGCAGCTGCACCACATCCGTTTCTCGACGATTCATACAGACAGACCGTATCTCCCGAGTATCCTAAACGTGGTATACTTACATCCAGCTCTCTACAAACCCAGAGAACCGTTTTGCCTGCATTCTCTACTCCGACGCTGGCTTAGCCGCCGTCTGTCCTGGTCATGGGTGGTTGATGCTGACGCATGAGGCTATAACGCTGCTTCCGGGCGCTGCTCTAGCCGGCCTGGCCAGAGGGAACTCAGCTATACCCCTTTCAATTTACTCGAGCTATTTCATTCTCGTTGCGAGTTTCCCACCCCTTCCCTCCTCTGAGTATTCTGGCGAATAAATCCCACCCCCCTCTTAGCGCCCCGAAGCGCTTGTCCTCCTGAGATACTCCAGCAATTAAAGAAAGGGGGTGTTAAACTTCTACGTTGAACAATCTATCGATCCCTTTGCATACCCTACCCTTCCACTCACCAGAATTGACACTTGACCAAGGGCAACCTGGTTCACTCTGACCGATCACACTTCTACGTTATATGTATGTACAGTACAATGGCCGACAATGGCGCAGAAAACACACCCGTCACCCCTACCCCACCCCGCTTTCTCTCCCCTCCTGCCATCACGGCACTGAAGCAGGAGGCCCGCGAAGCTAGCGCTGCGTGCAGTAGTAGTGGCGGCACCGGCCCTTGCCCACACCCCATGGAACGTACCATTAGCCAGGACATCCGTGAAGAACGCCAGGACCTTAAAGAAGCCGCTGAGCAGACGCTTAATGTCATTATCGACCTCAATTTGGATGGACGCATTAAGTGGGTGAGTCCGTCGTGGAAGGAAGTGGTTGGGACGAATGTAGAGGATGTTGAAGGCCGATTGATTTCAGAGCTGGTGCTGGATAATAAGACGGCGTTTGATAGGGCGATTGAGTCTATGAAGATTGATGATTCGAAGAGTCATATTGTGAGGTTTGCGGTGAAGACGGGGCCTGCGTCGTTTCTAAGGAGGGAGGTGGGAGAGGAGGAGCCAGTGGAGGTGAAGCAGGTGGCGGTGAAGGAGAAGGTGGAGGAGGGCAAGGTGGGTGAGGGGCTCGAACGGGAAGAACAAGAGGCAGTGGCACTAGAAGCAGAAGTGAAGGCGGAAGTCGAACGTGTTGATACCTTTCAGGTTCAGGACAGATTAGTCCAGCATGAGAAGGATGAGCGTGCCGCTGGACAGGCCAGGGAAGATAAGGACCATATTTTGAATTTGGAGGGGCAGGGGATTATGGTTTTTGGTCGGTCTCCGAGCACTGAAAGCCATGTAAGTATCCTTGTTGATATGGTAACGGTTGTAATAAAATATCTAACACTTGCAAGACTATGTGGATGTTACGTCCATCTACCCAGCCACGAGAAGTTACAATCGACCTTCCCCCAGTACTTGTCGAGTCTTTAGGTGTTGGCGCAGAGGTGCTTGCAAATTACCTGACGGCTCTAGCGGAATCCGGATCTCGAGATCCCAACCACGTCCCTCTTCCGCCGCCAGTGCTATGTCGAATATGCGAGCGCCAAATCCCCCCATGGTGGTTTGAGAAACACTCAGAGCTATGTCTGCAAGAACACGGGGCTGAGATGGATGTCCAAATGGCCCAGGACAATTTAAATGAACATCGTCACGCCATCGTCAAGATTCTGGATGCATTAGAGGCTAGGAAAATCAGATCATCCTCTGGCGACTCAAACCTCTTTGCTGGCCCTCAAGCAGAGTATAAGAATTTACCCATTGGCCCTTCTCAATTATCCTCTGGCTTAACTTCGGGTTCTTCGTCTTCCTCTGGAACTCCACCACTATCCCGTGATCCGTCGACATCGGGATTGGGACATACCCGTACCCGCTCCTCTTTTGCTGTTCGACGACCCCTTGCGCGTATTGTGGAATTGATTTTAGATCTCTGTGACACTGCTCTGGAAATCAACACGCCGGCCCTGAAAGAGGCACGAACTGAAGTTGGTGAAGAAATTCGAACACAATCTCCTCAATCGGAATCCAGAATCTCGCAGGTCCTGCAGTGGCAGTCTCCCAGCAGCAATACTCTCGAGCAAGAGCAAGGTCTGGCAGCACTGTCCGCCGATACTGAGCGTTTTGCGCGCGCTAAGGTGGATGCTGTGTTCCGTCACCGCCAGATAGTGGAGTATAGTGAGCGTATTCGAGTTGAGTTTACCGTGCTCGTCCAAGAATGCATTTCCGCTGCTATGAGTAAAGCGGAACGCATTGCCGCTGGGGAATTGAGCGACTCGTCCGGATCAAGCTCGAGTATCAATGGAGATTCGCAGGATGAATTGAGAGATCTATCCCTGTCTCACACACCAGATCCACTTTCTATTACATCTGGTCAGCCATTGCTATTACCTTCCAGTTCTGGAATCACTGCTGCGTTACGAGTGAGTTCGGAACCGTCACTAGTCACTGCCTCTCCGGACAGGCCTCAGCCTTCATCCGTCGCTGTCTCGACTCGCTCTAGCAGCCCAGTGGAATGTCCCACACCCCGGTCCCACAAGAGTGTTGGCGGTTTGCTAAACCATCCGCAAACTTCGAAGAGGGGCTCGTTGCTCGCCGAGAGTGATGCTGGTGATAGCGATTGTAGTGTTCTTTCTTCTGTCGTTGCTGGAACACGATGTACCGAATCCCCGTCTTCTGAACGGGGGGTTAGTCGTGCCGCAAGCTCAAAGGGTCGCAAACGTCAGAGTCTCATATTACCTGGCATGTCAGTGTCTCCACGCAGAGAATCGCCAGCGCGAAACCAACCACATTCTCCTCTTCGATTATCTAAACCGCGATTATCCATGGGCGAAAGCTTCCCGTCTCCCATGACATCTCCGCTGCTCAGTAACTCTGACCTTGGTTCGCAGCAGTACTATCCACCACCATCTTCTCATCACCATCACCATCGCAGACTATCGTCTGCCACTTCCCCGGATTTGAACAAAACTCCTGTCTCACCTCATCTTAGCTCCGTTAGTCATCCACCACCACCGCGGGCTGTTGCTCCTTCAATCAAAGATTTTGAGATCATCAAGCCAATTAGCAAAGGTGCCTTTGGCAGCGTTTACCTGTCGAAGAAGAAATCGACGGGTGAGTATTTTGCAATCAAAGTCCTGAAGAAGGCCGACATGGTTGTCAAGAATCAAGTTACAAACGTCAAAGCTGAGAGGGCCATCATGATGTGGCAGGGAGAGAGCGATTTCGTCGCGAAGCTTTACTGGACCTTCTCGAGCAAGGATTACTTGTATCTGGTCATGGAATACCTTAATGGCGGTGACTGTGCTTCGCTGGTCAAAGTCCTAGGCGGCCTCTCGGAGGACTGGGCGAAGAAGTATATTGCAGAAGTGGTTCTCGGCATCGAGCATCTCCATGAAAGAGGCATTGTTCACCGTGACCTCAAACCGGATAACCTCCTCATCGATCAAAAGGGCCACTTGAAGTTGACAGATTTTGGCCTCTCACGAATGGGGCTTGTAGGCCGTCAGAAACGCATTCTCAAGAACCCGAATGAGTCTGCTCCTGATTTGCTGAAGACGGGCCCGTTTACACGTGCCACATCTCTGGCGTCTTCGCGGTCGGCGTCGTTTGATTTCCCTGCAACTGCGTCGCCAAATTCCACACCCTCGATGACCCCTGAGGTTCCCATGTTTGTTAATCAGCCGTCCTATTTTAGCCTCAATAAAGAGCCCTCGTTCAATCGGGAGACCTCAAGACGAACATCGGGATATCGAAGTGATAGCGGTGGCAGTGACACTCTGGCGGGGATGTTTAGGGGCTTTTCTTTATACGAAAGTGGTGAGACGTCATATCCAATGTCGTTTCAACAACAACAACAACAACAACCGCAATTCCTCGTGCCGCAGCCTGGTCGTTCTATCGAAGAGGAAACGCAGAGTGAGGGAAGCGATTCTCCGCATCTATATCCTCTACAGACGAGCACAAGTTGTCCATCGTCTTCAGTGACTGGTCAACATGGTACTCCACCCCAGCAATCCATAATACCCCCTCCCATGGCCCTCTTTGATCCAGAGGATCACAATCGACGTTTTGTGGGGACACCGGATTATCTCGCTCCGGAAACTATTAACGGTGTTGGACAGGATGAGATGAGCGATTGGTGGTCTCTTGGCTGTATACTGTTTGAATTTCTCTACGGATACCCGCCCTTTAACGCCTCCACCCCTGACGAGGTCTTCGAGAATATCCTCAATCGCAGAATTAATTGGCCTGATGAGGCAGATGAGCTAGTCACGCCGGAAGCAAAGGATTTGATGAATGGATTGATGACGATCAACCCTGCGCAGCGTCTGGGTTCAAATGCCTCTGAGAAATATCCGAACGGTGGTGCTGAGGTTCGTGCTCATCCATGGTTCGCAGATATTAACTGGGACACACTGTTGGAGGATGAGGCGCAATTTGTTCCTGCCGTGGAGAATCCGGAGGATACAGAGTATTTCGATGCTCGGGGCGCGACGCTGCAATCCTTTACAGAGGAATTGGAGGGCCAGTTGTCTCCTCCCCCAGCCACGGGGGCAGACTACCCTGATCGACCACATGATGCCCTATACAAAGTTCGTACGCAAGTTAATTCTTTAAAGCGTGGGTTAGTGCCGTTACATATTCCGCCGCATGTGCGTGATCCTCGGAGCAGACGTTTGAGTGAGCCTGTGCCTGCAGATGATTTTGGGAACTTCAATTTCAAGAACCTCCCCATACTAGAGCGCGCAAACAAAGATGTTATTCAGAAGTTGCGCATGGAGGCCATGCAGGCTCAACAGAGACAAGCACCCAACAATACGCCCGCATCTAGCTCTGGTCCATCATTGGAAGGTAGCCCGCTGCTACCAATGCCGCTTCAGCGGACATTATCGCAGAACAAGGTTGCGAATCGCCCTGCCTCACCGTCTAGTCTTAGTCAAGCGAATTCCTCTTCTCCTAGTCGACCATCTCAACCTTCTTCGCCTCTCATGGTACAGTTTAGTACAGGCCAAAACCATGAGAGGAGGAAGACGTCTGGTTCCTCATCGACATACTCCCATCAGTCCAGCGGGTCCCTGCAACCTGGAAGCTTCCCTGAGCCTCCGAGATTAGTAACGAATTTTAAGATGTCGATGTCCGCAGCGTCTTCGCCTGTGAAGTATGTCAAGCCACCAACGCCTTCCCCTGAAAAGTCGAATCAACCGCGCCAGAGCAGTGCATCGACTTCTCGATCGAGATCGCAAACTGTTGGTTCCCAGGATAGCGAGGCGCCGCCGCTGCCAAAGGAGCCCTTTGTTCCTGGGCATCATAAACGGCGGAGCCAGCTATTTGATATATCGCCCTCATCGTCTGATAATGAGGATCCACGGACAAAGGCAAAGGCACTGCTCAAAGTGCAAAGACGACGACAAAGCTCTCGACGTTTGTCGCAAATCAACCTTGTTGAAGGCCCCTATTTCCGTCCTCTGGATGTCCTGATTTGCGAAGATCATCCCGTTTCGAAACTTGTTATGGAAAGGCTGTTTGAAAAGCTCCGCTGCCGGACAATTACTGCCGTCAATGGATCGGAAGCCATGCGCTACGCACTAAGCGAGGTCCAATTCGATATCATCATGATAGAATTCAGGCTTCCACAACTTAACGGCGCGGATGTGGCGCGTATGATCCGTGATACCAAAAGCGTCAATACACATACCCCCATCATCTGCTGTACAGGCTACCTTAAAGACCTCCCAGAAACCCACCATTTCGATGCGCTCATCGAAAAGCCCCCGACCCTCTCTAAACTCACGGAAGCCTTATGCAAATTCTGCCAGTGGAAGCCCCCTCCGAAGGATCATCCGCTCAGCTCTCATAATCCAATTCTGTCAACCGGAGTCACTCGTCAGCCGTCATTGATGCAGACAGAAGACAGTCCCAGCTCCACATCCTCCGGTTTTCTCGCCATGCCCACAGGCTCCTACCGCGGCTCTAGCCGCGAAGATTCTATTAGCAGCAGCTACTTTGGCGACGCTGAGTCCGTCAGGCCTGATGAATTACCGGTCGGCATCAGTCGTCAGGCTGCGGATGACTGGGGAAATTCCCAAGGGAGTGCAAGTGGTTTGGGTATCTCTGACGAACCGGTAATTCCAAGGACAGAACCCATCATTATGTCCTCCCCTCCCCCCATCCATTCTACCCTCTATGCCACATCCGCACCGTCGACGACCATGACGGGGACTGCAGGCATGAGTGTGCGCACCCCACGTAACTACCCTTTTGTTGAGGAAGTTCACGCAAAGCGGGAGTCGCAAGAGCGAAGGAGGAGGTATGAGGGCGATGAGTCTGGGGATGATGAAGATGAGGAGCTTGGTTTTAATTCTCAGAATCGAATAAGTCCGCAGTGTGCTCGCGGGAAGAGCAAGCGATCTGGATCTAAGTTGGGGACGGAAATGATGCGGACAAACAGTCGCGGAAGTGTTGTTAGCGATGCTGGTGAGGCTTTGGGTGCTGACCATGTTGGTGAGGATGCCGGTGTGATTACGATTAATTCCTCTGAGGGCGGTACTGGGAAGCTACTCACCACGACACGAACACCATCGTCGTTAGTTGGAGTACTTGGCCCAAGTATTGACATCGTGGAAGAAGGTCTGGGTGGTCTACGAATTTCGGAAGAGAGGTTGGAAACCTTGCCCGAGGATAGGGATCAGGAGGTGTCATGTGTTTCAGCTGATCCTTTCGTAACCACGAGCCCAGCCCGCGCTATTTTTCAGTCACCTAAACCAATACGATCGTCCGACGTGGAAGCTGGGAGGGCATATATTAAAACAGAGAAATCATCTTCTGTTCAGAGACACCAGGTAGCGGAACCAAATTCTCAACCCCAACAATCAGACCCTGGAAATACAGCACATGGTTTCGCAATTATGGCTACCACACCTCCCCTGGCCTCCATGTTCCCTCACACTATTACTTCTTCGACAACCATGGCCACCACACCACCCAACACCGCCATCAAACAGCAACAGCATCCTGATGCTAATCTTACCACTCACCTCCACGACAAAGACATCACACCTCGGCCCCAGACTGCCGTCGCGGCTAGTGGATTTAACCCCAGTAAGGTTCGTAGCACGCCGTCGCCAGACACATATGGGGCTGGTTCTGGTGCAGTGAGCGGCACGAGCGATCACCATGAAGCCGAGGGCGAGTCAGAGGTTACGCCACGTGCATCTGAGAGGGATAGGAGCCGAGAGAAGAGTAGGGAGAGGAGGTTGTTGGGTTTGGATTGGATACGGCGGACCTGATGGTGGGAACTTGATGAGGTTGGAGAGGTAGTGGAACATGATTTGGTAATGATCTGATCTGTTCTTTCTAACGTTTTTTCCCTATTTATCTCCTCTCTTCTTATGATATGATTTGTATTGATATATTATGATATGATTTTCCATGCTCCATGCTCCATTCTCTTTTCTCTATTTCCTTTTCGTTCAGCCTGGATTTGATTTGAATTGATTGCATGCGTGTATTGGGGTTGCGAATGAACTGGGACGCATGGCTTTGGGTGTCTTTTCTCATTTTAACAGTAACTAGCTGTTTCGCTTAACTAATTTAGTTGAGATGGGAGATTTTTTCTCTTTCTTTCTTTCTCTCTTTCTTTCTTTTTTTTTTAAATATTTATTGGTGGTGATTAGTGGAATGTGATGAATTTATCTGAGATACTCCTTCTCTTATATCTTGTCTCTTGCATGTCATAGCCAGCTGCTATTGATTCCTCTGGAGTCGAATTCGTGTATGTACAGATATTTGACAGATACTGGAAAGGGAGAGGTGCTTAACATAAGGATGAGAGAAACATGGCTTTTGCACAGCTTGGTTTTCTTAGCTATTCACTTAATATGCCTGTCAATACGTTTTCTTTAGCGAATATGTTAAATTGTTATCCCTTTCTGTTTTCGTGAGGGTGTTTCCATCTCAACAGATTTTCTCATTTCTACTCTTTGCGAGTCAATCCTATTGGTGTTTTCTTTCCCTATGATGTTTGGGGATCAGCGACTGAATCGAATTGGTATGGATGTTGACAGACAGGAAGCCATATTGAGAAGTGCGTTGGTGCAACCATTTAATATATTTATATATATTGAAAACCAGATAAAGATGGATGAGGTAATAAATCAATTTTTGTTGACGTACTCTCCGTAGGTAAGGAGCAAATATACCCAGGGAGAAAAAGTTCTGATTTGTACTGTACTTTTTCTTTTTTAAATTCCGTTAAAGAAAAATTGGCTATTATTATCAACTACATCATCAAAAGAAAATAAAATCGACAAGAGAAATAGACCAAGCACATACAGATACCTCCTTCATGGGTGAAGCACCCCCATCAATGAAAAAGAAGTCCAGCTTTTTTAAGCCTCATCCTCATTCTCATCCTCCTTATCCTCCTTCACCGTCTCCGCCGCATCCTCGTCCTCTTCGAATGTATTCACTGGGATCTGATAGAGTCGAATAACGGGCTTATTCGGATCCTTCACAAGCACAAACTTGTGCATATCATTTTCTTCTTCGTCATCATGCTCCAGACCCCGAACCAAGTCCACAATCGTCCGAACAATACCCCATCCATTCGACAGATTCAAGTTCATTTGTGCCGCGAACTCACGTGGCTTGTAACCAACTACGCCTAGGATGATGTGAGCAGATGCCGATTTTGGATTGGCGCGGGACACGAAGCCGAGTTTCATCGTATCGGCTTTCGCCAGGATCGCCTGCGTTGCCCATCGAGCAAGCTTGCAGCTGTTGTTCTTCATCTCAGTGGCGACGACGGCTCCGCGCTGCGAGACGAGTTTAGTGCGCCAGTCAAGTGCACCGCCGGCACCCTGAGATTTGTGGTCGAATTCGTTGAGGGCCTTGAGGGTAAGCTGTTGGTCGTCACCGCTGATGTTGTTCTTGACGACAGCATCGACTTCAGTGCGCACGATCAGGTGAAGAGGTTCCTCATCTTTCTCGAGAGAGAGATCAAAGCGACGATATTTGTAACCCTTGGAGGCAAGGGGTTCGGTCTCTTCAGACGGATTGTAGAAGGGATTGGGGTGGCTAAATTCAAACTTAGATGTTTCGGATTCAATCACCGTCTGGAGAGCAAAGTTATGGTTGATGACAGTGGCCTCGATGGCGAGAGCACTGGGGGTATTTATGGAATCTTGTTTGTTGCCTCCTGCTTCTGACGCCTCAAGGGGAGCATCTGCGGCGTTCTCATTGACTGTCACCAAGTCAATAGAGGCGTTGTCACGTTTGTCCAGGTAGATCTTGTTGCCTTGTTGAATGATGACGATATCCCATGAGTATACGCTGCGGGGGGCACACATCAGCATGGAAAGAATATCAGCCGTTGCGAACACGGTGGCCTCATCCTTTTCAGCCAGTTCTTGGATAATTGGATCGGCAGTGGTGGTAACGTTGTACGCCGCACGGTCGAGAGAGATTAGTTTCCGCTCAGTGTTTCGCACGGGAGGTTTATCGTACGCGCGATCATAATAGTAGAGGAATCCATAATTGTCAATATCTTCACCATCGGGGGTCTCCAGGTTGAGCTTCGAGAGCCTTGTGAAATCGATTTCCTCCCGCATTGTCCACTCGGTGCGGATGTGGACAGAGCTGTCGCGGTTGCGCTGGGGCTTATCGTAATCTCTCCACCCAAAACGACGGCCCCGTCCACCTCGACCACCACGGTTATCGTAGTACCGATCTCCACCGGGCTGGCCACCTCGCCCTGCACCCACTCTTTGGAAGCCACTTCGACCACGTTGTCCTGAACCACCTCGTTGGCCGCGGCCTCGGAATATGGTGCCGCCGCCACGACCAAACCCGCGAGTCTTTGTAGATGATCTGGTGTTGTCGACGACGGAGAAGGAGGATTCGTCCTCAGCCACCTGCACAGAGAAAAGACTTGATGTCCCTGCACCATATACTTGTTGATCTATTGAAGTTCACGGTGAGTTAGAATCCGGGAAAATCGGGACTTGCGGTAAAATGGATATACAAACCTCTGTAGACGCGATTATATGCCTGTCTACCACCACGTCCATCTCGCCCATCTTTCCCTTCAGTCGCCCAATCTGCCATCCGGCCTAGCTTATCGCCTTTAGAGAATGGAGCATATGGAACGCCATCAAGAGTGCTTTCGCTGGTAACGGGAGGGCCCCATGAGTCCTCTGACGGGAGGGAGGCAACGATATCTGTGATGGAGGTAAGGGCCATGGTGGCTAGTTCTTGACCCTTTTCGGATGCGTCGTCGTCGTCGTGAGAGGACGAAGCACTTGTTGCTGTGGTTGTTGAGGTTGTTGGGCGTCGTTTAGTTGACAATGGTCGAATTTCGGATTTTTTTTACTTGAATTTTGAGATGTGGGAAAGTCTTGGCATGATTAAGTAAGGGTGTGTATTGTAAACAGGACGTAACATTACGTTTGATTACAAGGACCATTGCCCAAGGGGGATCTCTATGAGGAAGAGTAAAAAAGAATTCTATAATTGTATACGTCTTTATTCCAACAATTTAAGAATCAGAGCTGCGCTGTCATATCATTATGCGCTATGATTTCACTATATTCTGAGGAGTTGATTTGCATGGAGTATGGATTACTTCACCAATAAATGAATCTGAAAACCGCAAGACGGTGGTGCGAGAATATTAGCAGAGTGTGTTTGTCTTCAGATAGGAAGTGAAGAATTGAGAAAGATGAAATAAGCTGAGATATAAATAAGCTGAGATGAACAAATGTAAACTGAAAAGGAAATCATAGCTCTGTCACAGCCTGCATTCTTTTTAAAAGTTAGTGAGCAAGAATCAAGGATATACTTGTTATGAAGACATACTGACAAAACAGACATAGAATCAAAATAAGCAGAGTGTAAGTTTTAGTAGGGAATAGAAAATGAAGTGCAAAGGAAAATAGAAGTGAAAGTTAAAGAGACGTTGCTGCTTCCATGAAAACATCATATCATCCATCCACCTTTTCAGTCAGAGAATCGGGGGAAGGGGCTTGAGATCTTCGGGACCTGTATCCATCAGAGGCTCCATTTTCCTTGCTAGCACGCTGCTGAAAGAGTCCATAAACTCAAAATCTTCCATTACCGCACCAAACCCATAGCATCGGATTTTACCATTCAAATCGTCCATCATATGCCGCACGTCTTCTCTCGTTAGCGAAGGGTAAGTATCATGGCTCTTTAAATACTGCAGTGCCATGATTGGTGTGATTTGGCCTCCTGTGACTAGCTGACGACTTAGATTGAGGAGGGCTGTTAGGTTGGCATGTGGAAGGTCGTAGGTTCTGGTGGAATACATCTGACCGGGTTCAGCAGAGACGATTTGTGTAGGTGGTGGACATGATGCCATTAGTACATGTCCGGAGATCGTTTCATGCTCTTCATCGTCCTCAGCTCGCCTGCATAGGAGTTCCATGTGGGTACGGCAGGATTGTTCGAGGCTGTGCTTCAGTGTTAGTTGATAATGAACTTCCAAGAAACATGACGTAGCGTTATGTGGTGGAATTGAGGTTAGTGTCCTGCTTTGTCTTACGAGAGGATAAAGTCAACTCCCAACTGCGGATCCTTTTCGAAAATGCCAGGCACATCATCGACTGCCGTACCATCACCTCCCCAAGAACTCGATTCTGCTAAAACTCCTGATTGCTCTTTCTGATGTCCTTGAGACTCGGAATATAAAGGGAACATATTCCCACCGGGTTGGGTCTCTGTGGAATCGGAACCTGTCCCAGGGCTAATGGCTGACCTGATGGTCGAGGGTGTGGATGTGGGGGGGTTACCACCCCCTGTGAATCCCTGCGAGTGGGAATGAGATGGCACATGCGAGTGGGACTGGGAGTGAGCTTGGGTAGTTCTGCCAACTGAGGCGCTTGTGTAAGCACGGTTGTTTCCAGAACGAAGGGAAGCTCTTCGTCGTTCAAGTTCGGCCTCGAAGGGAACGCCATGAGCGGTGAGAAGCTGTCTCAGCATCGCATTCTCGTCCTTCTGCTCCTGTAATATCTTTTTCTGTTGTTGCATTGACAGATTTGTTGTTGACATATCATTGCTGTAGCATTCTCTCAGTCGAGACACTTCTGTCTCCAGTGCCCTGATGTACTGTTCTTTTCGCTCTCGATGTGTTCTAATGTCCAGTGAGCCACATCAAGAAATATTCGCATGTATAGAGCACGGCACGTACCTCTGAGCTTGTCTATTTAGCTCCTGACGCCGTGTCTGGGCAGGTTTGCTATCTGGTTTTGGGCCTCTCCGCTTCTGTGGTTGTCCTTTAATTCCTCCAGTTAGGATTTTGAGAAATGGTGCCTGTGGGAATCGTATATGAAATTGGCATATATACCTCGAGTAGTTGTCCTTTCTGCACCCAAACTTTTCATGAGGGGTATATCAATCATAGGTGCGCTTATTGAGCTGCTGGAATGACCGCCTGTTACAACTCCTCGCTATCGTTTTGCCTTCGATGGAGGGCCATGGGATGAATACAACTTCTGGCTTTCCCCATGGCCCTCCATTGAAGGGACGAAAGCAAAAATAAGTAAGCCGGTGCTCTTCTTTTTCTTTTCTTTTCTTTTTTTCTTTTTCTTTTCTTTTTATTTATTTATTTATTTATTAATTTTTTTTTAAAGAAAAAGGAAAAAAATTAGGTATTTATGAAACGACCCATAATAAAAGTGTGCTCCCGGGCATGTGAAATCACCTGACATAAATGCTGGTGAATCTATACGTACTGCCGAGTAGTTGAAAGGAAGTAAACCATAAAAAAATAGAATTGATCGAGGAAATTCTCTTGGGAAATAAGGAAAGGATCTGAAGGAAATATAGATAGACAACTTAAAGAACAAGTTGCTAAGGGGCACATCCCCACTTCACCTCACTGATATCATTAGAGAAATACGTCTAATTGAATGGAATCGAACAAATGAAGAGATGGATCAAGAGTAAAAAAAACAATCTCATATGCGACTCAGCAAGAGAGAGTATTCTTTTGAATACATACCGACGTCATCCACATCTACATCCACATCCGCATTCTCATTTTTTGTGTTTTTGTCCGAAGCCAGACCACCGTACTGTCCAAAGGATGCCATCCTTTAAGACTACCAAATACTTTTCATGTGATCAAAGACAGATTGGCAGTAGAGGCCAGACAGCAAAACTCCCGGTTGTTTAAGAACTAGCGGGTGAGCTGAGGTCTCTGCTGGAGGTGGGGTCAATGTGGCTGTGGATATCGCACGGATTGCTAGCAGTATCCCCGCCCTGAGCGAAGGATGGTGACCATTGGAGAGTGAAGCCCGTTTGTCATGGCACGAATCGAGTGAACAGGATGGATGCAGGAGGAGAGGATGCCGGCCAAAGGTTCAGCCCCAACGCGCACAAGATGAAAGATGAAAGGATGAAATAGTTATAGAAGCTGTTTTGTTATCGGAGACTTCCAATTCCCGGGCACGGGTTAACCGTTGCCCCGGTGGTATAGTTCAGCTAGTTTAGGGACCCTGTGGATGATGAGTAATAAGCGCCTGGTCTTTGAGCCTTAACGGACCTCTCAGAGACTCTGGCTAGTCAAGCTTGGAATCGGAATCGAGAAGAAATGTATTACGGGTCTATGTGATGACCCGGGCTGATGTGATTGCGCGGGCTTTGGATGAACCCCGATTCACGGTTTTGCGGCGGAAATCTGGCGTTTGAACAATCTCATGCGGACGAATATGCCAATGAACACGAAGCAACGGAAATGGAAATGAGACCTCGCTGAGCGTCTTTCGACACGCCGGCTGGCGACCAGGGAATTATCCATGGAATAATTGTGATGTGGCGAACTGGTGTTGCATAGCGCTGATCCTTTCATCCAAGATTCCGGAATAAAAAGAAAGTGGGCAGCGTTGGATATTTATGATGATTAGTTGGAGCTCAGCGAAGCTGGGTCCAATGTGTGGGGGAACTTGCGGGTGCTGATTGCACAGTAACTACAGGCTGTGACTGCGTGGAATGATTTCATCTGGGCATGGACCGCATTCTTTGAGACTTTTGAGAGCACTACTCTTCAGTAGCATTCTCTCCATAGGTGGCAAATTCCAGGGCCCCCTCGCTGTTCCAAGCCTGAAATGGAGTTCAGGAACGATGACGCCTCCAAAAGGAGATTCCAGACATGGGTGCTACCCCGAAGATGACTAAAATACTTTAATGCCAATAGTTAGGCTGATGGCAAAAGTTGGACACACTCCTGCTGATCAATAAGTCATGGAGGACTAACGTTGTTACAACAATGTTGTATTAAACCAGCTAGCTAAGATCTAACCTGCAGTATCCAGGAACAAATAGAGATCCAACAAACGTTACCATCGATGGTTTGTTCTCTGCGTTGGTCCCTGGGAGTGGGGCTAGAATGCTCAGAATGCTCTCCGTCTCAACTACGGAGCTCTAGTTACCCAACTTGGGCCTGCGGAAAAAGCTGAAAAGGGGCAGATTGTAACGAGCTTTGTCACATCAGTCACATCAGGCTAGAAGACCAAACTTTGAGACACATGCTTGATCCGCCCTTATTCCGTGCAAGCCACACCGGTGGCGTTGCTATGATGCTAGAAGCTGATCAGTTGCGGAGTTGGAATGGAGTCTTTCCCGCGGTATTCGCTGATTCTCGGATTATGCAGAAATTCCAATGACTGAGAAGACTTTTCCAAGATCGACTCAAATTGCAGAACTTTTCGGATGAAAGTTCTGCATGCATGTGGATGAACGGAATTAGCTCTACTGACCATTTACAGCCCTCCTTTTGCTCAGTAAGGTTTTCCCCGTGGAATATTATGAGAACAATAAATGAGGTGATCTCGACTTTGAATGACCGTGGATTCTTGTCAATAAAGTCCCATGGTTATTATGGCAGTTATGGAATTTACGGTTGTCCAAAGAGTATTTTTCTATTGGGAAAATTCTGGAAACTTGGCTTTCTCTAGAACCCGCTGGGGAACACTTGAACCATAGGTTTCTTTCATCATCTTTTACTTTCGGCAGTTAGGCTTTTAAAAGGCGGGGAACTATCACCCCTTGTTCCATATCTTTAGTTTCAGTTTCCCACAGCCTATGGTCAGATACGAGGTTAAAAGAGCAGTTCCTCAGCCAATGAGAAACGCATTCTTCAATGCAGGAGTACGAGAAATGAGATAGGCATTCTTCAATAGGAGTACGAGTAATGTAAATGCCAGAGATTGTCAGATCGCCAAATAAATTTGTAAACGACAATTTCGGTCCCTGTGCCGAGCTAGGTACGATTGCCGTTGGCGAGTTCTGGTGCGTTCGTGTACGTGTGAATCAGGGGATAGAAGCAATAATAGATAAGATACAGCCGACATATATCATTTACGACCAGACGCTGCCTTAGATGCGGGGTTCGAGGTTTACAAACGACTAACCTCCACAATCAGGGTAGTAATCGGGAGCAAATGCGGGAGATGATGCCGAAAGACAAACCGATGTCGTGGAACCTTGTTTGCTCACGAGGCGTCTACTGACTTAAGTAATTGAACTGCCTGTTCTCTCCCATATCCCCGGAAGAGGTTACCCATAACCACATATCTAGGCATGCTCAACACATTTTATTGACGGTGAGTATTTTATATGTTTAATTCCAAAACCCCACCTTGAGAACCGTGTCCGCTATGATGCCGATTGAACCCTGGGAGGGTAAAAGCTCAAACTGTCCGCGATTACCGTGATGCAACCCTTGCCTAAGTCGATCCTCCGCTGGGCCCATTGCCTAACCCCCTGCCAATGGGCTCACTGGATCTACCCAAGCAACTGCTCACGGCCCGCGAATATGAACTTACTCAGAACTATGATGCCATTGCTCTTCTGCGCATGCTGCGTACCAAGGAGGCCACCTCATAAGAACTGACGAGAGCGTTCCTCCGGAGAGCTGCAATTGCTCAGTACGCAGTTTGTGCTCCATCCTTTTAACATTGAGCAGGTTTGGTTTGCAAGTTATTGTCGATATACTGATTGAATATTTGGTTGAACAGGTCAACTGCGTTACGGAGCTGATGTGGGATGAGGCCATTGAACGAGCAAAATATCTCGATTCCCTCCCACTACCCATTGGGCCTTTACATGGACTTCCTATTTCCGTCAAGGAGCACCATGGGATGAAGGGTAAAAAATGTAACGCCTCCACAGTTAGCTGGATTGATTATCCTTCAACAGACGGACTTCTGAATGATGCGCTTTATAACGCTGGCTGTGTTTTCCATGTTCGTACTACCGGTCCTCAACTCCTGATGCATTTGGAATGCACTAGCAATATATATGGCCGGACTGTCAATGCACATAACCGTAATCTCACTTCCGGTGGTAGAAGCGGTGGCGAAGGGGCCCTGGTTGCAATGCGGGGAAGTGTTTTGGTGAGTTAATATACGCACCTGAGGCTTTTGAATTAATCATCTATCTTTGCCGTTTCAAATACTCATGGGCACAAATCTAACCATCCGAAGGGTGTGGGTGGAGATATTGGTGGCAGCATCCGATGTCCGGCGAGCAACAACGGCGTATATGGATTTAAGCCGACCTGCACACGGATCTTGGGAACTGGCAAGAAGATTGTAATGGACGGCTGCGAGACTATCTTAGGGACTTACGGACCACTTTGCACTAGCAGGGCAGCGATAAGTCTCTTCATGGAAGTCGCATTGGCTGGCGAGCCCTGGCGCCTTGACCATCAGTGACTCCTATCCCATAGTCTCCCGTCACATTAACGAAACCGCTGAAGATTGCTGTTGAATGGGATGACGGTGTCGTTAAACCACATCCGCCAGTTCTCCGTGCACCCAGAAAGGTGGCGGATGCGTGTCGGAAGGCTGGCATGGAGGTTGTCGATTGGGTGCCGCTTGATCACTCCAGGGCTTGGGATATTATTTCCGCTCTGTATTTCACAGACGGAGGGGAAGATGCTATTGAGTCCCTGAAGGCATCTGGAGAACCAATCCTGCCTTTGTCCAAATTCATTATTCATGAACAACCCGCGGTCAAAACCGCATACACTGGCAGAACTTTGGAAGGTCTGTGACACATTCTTCATGCTGCTGATAAATGAGGAGGGTTCGTCCTCACAAAACCATTTCAACTCTGCATTAGGCGCGACGATTACCGCGCAACATATGCTAAGCACTGGTCAGCAACGGCCACTTCTCCCACCGGAGAGGTCGATTTAATTCTGTGCCCAGCCACCCCGGGATGTGCACCACCGCACGAGACTTCCCGCTATTGGGGCTACACTGCACATTGGAATTTGCTCGACTACCCCGGCGTGGTCTTCCCTGTCACCACCGTCGATCCAGCGGCAGACCTACGCGACGAGAACTACCAGCCCCGTAACGAGAAAGATCTATACAATCATGATCTTTACACGGGTCCAGAGAGATACGAACGTGCACCAGTTAGCTTGCAGCTTGTAGGAAGAGGATTCTGCGATGAGAAGGTTATAGCGGGACTTGAGGCAATCGAGAAGGTCATGGGAAGAGAGGAAGAAAAGCATTGACATGGAGGGGGGACGCAAAGGAGACACCGTTTCGGTAATTAAGATTGAGCATTCTTGTTGCTTTGGGCGTTGGGGATTTCTTCCTCTTTCTTCCTCTCTTTTCCTTTTTTTCTTCTTTATTTCTGCAAAACTTTCCGAGCATCTGTATGTACAGTATATATACATACATACTCCGTACACTACCCTCCATTGCGCTGTAGATGCTTCCCTTCACAACGAGATATCATTAATATATTGATCTTAGTCCTACCAGTTCATTTCGGCATTGGCGGCAATCTGGCACAGAAAGCGTGTGGTTTGGAGTGGGAGGACTTAATTTAAATAATAACTAAAGTGCTTTGCATTTTCGCAACTCAGTTTGCAACGGATAATTTTGGTAGGGAATTTAGTTATAGGCTATAGTTGTTGTTATTTGGTCCAAAAGAATTTTAAAAGAAGAAACAAAAAGACAAGCAAAAGCGAAAAAAGTTTGGAAGTTCATCATCGTTGGGGCGCTAAAGGCGGTAAAAAGTAGTTAAATTAGTAATACGGAGATTCTTTCCCAAGCCAAAAACATTTAAGCCTCGAACGCTTCATCAAGAGCGTGCGGGGAGGGGAACAACATTCCCCATGAACATATGAATAACAACGGAGTTGAAATCGCGATACATAGGCATTGCTGAGCCCATATCACAGCGATGAGGATGCTTGCGGGTACTGGATCCCTTTTTCGATGAAACTTTCGATGGCGGACAGCGTTGAAATACTCGTTCATATCTCCGCCCTTGGTACTACAAAGGAGGATACAAACTACAGGGCCCACTCGGATGCATACCTGGAATTTGAGCCTGTGACTAGAGTCAAAATATACCCCGATGATGCGGGCAGCGAAATTTCCACAGATGAAATTGGGGATCCTCCAAGCGATGCAAGTCAAAAACAACTGCAGCCCGATCAGTTAGATGGAAAAAGCCAGAAAGAATCACATCATATACCCAATTTCACCCTAGGAAAATGTGCATCTTTCTCATCGACGTGGGGCCCGAGTTTCGGGGAAACCACATGTGGCCTGTTAGACCTCTCCCAAAGTTCAGCTCAAAGGTCCTTTTCGCAGAATGATACGAACGTTGTTTCCGACAACTCCTTTCTGAGTCCAAGGAATCGCTCCAGAGTTTCTGAAACTGGTCCTGCAACGCCCTGCAATGCTATCCCCAGCTCTCAGGCTACGGAGACACCACCCAGCGAAGTCCCCGAATCCCAATCTTCCTTCCAGGCTAGCTGGAGTGTTGAAAAGGACAATACCCCGCCCGGAAGGCCAAAACAAAATATACAAATCGAGAGATCACCTTCTGATGGTTTGCATTCCCAATCAAAAAGACGTCGGGTATCCGTTCTCCCAGCTTGTATGCCATCTTCAATCCATCTTGGAACCACACCTACATCTTCCACATCTGAGCTTCTGCGCGCATCACAACTCCATTCTCAATATGATAAACCAGGACTACTACGCCGACAAGAGATTTTTGAGAGAGTTTTGTTTCCCTTAGAGATAAACCCGCCACGGCCGGTTCCTTCTTCAACCACTCAGTTCACAACCCACGTAACTCCGACGTTACAAATGCTTGCCGACAAGCTCAAGTTATCCAAAGTTTTCAAACCGTCGCTCCAAACTCGGTCATTACGCACCTTGGAGCGTGGCTATTGGCTTCTAAACCTCACCATCTCAGACTCCAGTAGCAACGCCAACAACAATAATAGTTCCAAAAGTTATCAAAACCCGTTTTGTATGGACGACGCTATGAGCAAGAAGCCCAGAATCGGTCCACCCTGGTCTAGAAAATGCTTCTTCGACTTCTGGGATTTTCTTTCAAAATTCATTGCCCACGACGGCCGTGCCGGTTGGGGTGTATGGTGTATCTGCGAGTCTAGATCCTCAACCTCCTCTTCGATAAATCCCACCGATTCACATTCCATAATCGACCTCACCTCTCAGGACAGTGCTCAGATTCCAGCAGAAAATAAGACTCCGCAACCAGATGACAATCTCAACATCATAAAACACATCGCCGTAAAAATCTATACTTGGGGCGAAGTTGCGCCGCATATATACTTGCTCATGTATCTAGCTAGCGATAGAAAAGTGAGAAAGGTTCCCGGCGTTCAGTGGAGGGATGGGGCCGATGAGTTGGTTATATTTATGGGTTGAATGACTGTGAATGATGATCACGAACCCTTTTTGTACATTGGTGCTTTAAACATGTAGTTGCATATGAATATATCCTAACTTAATGGCATGAGATATTATCCCGTTATTTTACAATGGCTTTTTTTCAGAGCAGAATCGGAACTGTCTTTAAAGGGAAGGTAGCCAGCGAGCTTGATAATGGAAACTTGGCTGCTCAACTCTTGTCTAAAACTACCAGGTAGTAGAAGATGATATTGCCAGCCGTGGATATTCAGTGGTGAAAGCAAGACTACGCCACTAAAGACAGACCCTGTGTTCTCCTTTCGATTAAAGGCAGATATACCAGACCGCAATGGTGTAGGAACAAAGTGTTAATCATGAAAAAAAAAAATAAATAAAAAATAAAAAGGGTAGAGCACACTAAAAAGATTTCACACACCCATCCATCCATCCACCGCCCCATTGTTCAAATTGGATAATTCACAAAAGAGTAACAGCAAAGAGAAGAGACGATATATAATATGATAAAAGAGCCATAGATACGAATACACATTCCGCCCAGTTTTAGATTCGGAAAATGAAAGGAAGAAAAGCACTGGATTTGGGAAAGCTTGTTGTCCGACAAATTTGAAAACGGAGATTGCTGGTGGTAGAGAGGAAAAAGCAGGAACCAAGAAAAAAATAGGCGATAAATCAATAGTTCAACTCCCCGCTCCCAGCCCCCCCAACCGCATCAAGATCTTCGTAACTTTTTAAGCTGCGTCCTTGCACTGCCTCCTTTGGGCCCATAGCCTGTGCGCTCCCACCAGCACCATCGCCCCATCGTCCGCTTCCTGGAGCAAATCCACCTCCGCCAGCACCGGCAGCAATTGCAGCAGGATGACCAGGTGGGATGTACGCTGCCCCAGTACTAGGTAGGCGTCCGCCTGCAGTAAACATACCACCGATTCGAATAGGACTCAGTCGTTCGTTACCGTTCATGCTACCACCTGAGCCTCCAGCACCAAAACGACCTCCCCGGCGATCATACGGGCCGATTCTGTTCCCACTATAGCGATTACCACGCCGAATGACTCCAGAACTATGCAAAGCTGACGGATCGCCAGAGGGCGCAGAGCCTGTCATTGAGAGTCCATTACCAGCCCAGCTACCGGGGTGGCCAGCGCCGTTCATGAATCCGGCAAACCCCGTTGCAGAGGGGGGTAAGCCGTGGAACGAAGTACTGCCAGGCATTGGGCCATTTCCAAAGCCAAAGGGCATGTTTGCGAGATTGAATCCGCGAGGGGTTCCGGTTGGCATATGACCGGATGAGTATGGGAAATGTGCGTTGCTAGTAGCATCGGCTCTAGACGGAGATATATGTGCAGGATCGAGAACGTATGCATTGACCAAGAGGAGCTTGAAACGTTATTAATATGATAACGACATTGAAGGTGGAGGTGTACTGTCAACTTACATCTTTCCGGATATCGCTGTACCGCTCCGGATGGCGTTTTTCTACATGCATCCTCCAGAAATGATAAGCCTTGAATAGTTTGGTACACTCAGGTACCTTGCAGCGGAACTTAGCCTCGTCCTCTTGCTTAACAAACTTGGAAAGTTCTTCCTCCACAGCCTCGTCCACTGGTTTTCCGCCAAGTTTCTTCAAGTCAACATTCTCAGGCTCCAATATTTGAAGCAGCTTTTCCTCAAACGTCTTCACCCAGTTGAAAGCGCGCTGAGCTTGCTGCTCCGTCTTTGACGAAAAATGAGACTGCTTTTTCTCATCCACCGGGGATTCTGCATTTCCATCATCCTCTACTGGTTCTTTCTTTTTCGTAGGGAATGGCTGGCCAAGGGCGCTAGCTTTTGCTGCAGCTTTTGCTTGAGTGCTCAGGCCCGATCGAGGACGACGCAGATGTCCACCAGGGCACTTTCGAACAAGCTCGTGGATCGAATCGCTCTCAAAGACGCAGAAGAAGCAGAAGTTATAGACTCGACGTAAATATTCGACCAGAAGATCTAGTTGCTTCTTTTGAATGAGTAGGTCCTCACTATCAACTTCATCATCATAGGAGTTTTCTTGTTCTTCTCCTTCTTCAGCCTCTCCATCTTCCAAGAGGATCATGTCCACATCGGCTTCGAAAGGTTTGGATTTCTTTGTGTTTGCGGCACCAGTGACGGGGGGTTGCAGTAAACATTTTCCCCGTAGTTCTTCAACTCGATTTTCGACTTTGGATAAACCGTCTGCGGAACCAAGTTCTGAGTCGAGTTTTGACACCAATCGTTTCGCCAGCTCAAGGTCCCTCTCGATGCGCTCCGGGGCTGAGAATAAATCCCAAAGGGCCTTTTTCCTAGGGTTCGTTGGCGGGACATGGACGCCAACGTGGCATACAAAGTCCCCGCGGATGGGATCATGAATAGTCTTTTCATTGACCGCCTCGAGAGCCTTTTCGGCAGTAAAGACGTTGGTAGTTCCATTTGCTGCACCATCTACTTCTTCGCCCTCCTCATCTCTACCGTCGCCTCTTTCGATAACTGATGGGCCTTCCGTTGCAGGGTGAAGCATAATCCACCCCATCCGGTGGCATTTTTTAGCCGGATTGGGATCGCTCAGACTAAGCCATTTGAACCCGCCATCCCCTTCACCAAGATGTTCCTTACAAAACTCTTCGATTTTGTCGCGACTTACGTTAGGGGCTAGGGTTTTGATCAAAAGAGCAGGTTGGAGTAGTGAATCATCCCGTAAATCTCCGCCTCGAGCGGGAACTAGATCGAGCACACTAAGAGTTTCTCCGACGGCTGTTGCTTCCCCTTCCTCTTTTTCAATAATGCCACCTGCTCCGTCACTCTCACTTTTGTAAATTCCTTCTAGGGTAAACTCATCAAATACCCCAGAATCGACATCTTGTTCCCATTGCTGATATGCACTAGTTCTGAACTCCATCAATCGTCGACGGAGGGGGTCCCTAGTTTCGGGTACATATCTCTCTTTAAACCACTCTTCAGTTTTATGTTGCTGGACGAAAGCGCGAGCCATCTTGATCTGGAGTTCGGCTTTATATACGTCATAGGCTGTTTGGATCTGCGCGCGCTCCTTTTCGCGGTCCTCTCTAGCCTCGCGTTCTCCCTTAACTCTATCAGTTGGCCGTCTTCCACCATGCTTCGCCCGCTCTTTTTCCTCCTTTATTGCCTGATCTGCTCTCCACCATTCCGCAAACCAATTGAATCCGACTTGGAAGTCAAGGGTTAATGGATTTGGTAGAGGATTGGTTCGTAAAACCGGTTTAGCAGAATCTTGTCCAGGAACATATCGGTCAATATTTGCAGCAATGGGCGATGGTATACGACGACGCTCTTCTCGATCACGCGCTGCATGATCTCGGGAAGCAGTGTAATATTCATCGCGAGGTGCGCGTTCTCGGTCGCCTGGCTGGTACCGATCAATCACGACAGGAGATCGAGACCTACCACGTGCGGACGTGCGCCGGCGGTCTTGAGAGGCTGGAAAATAGTTTAGCAAATGGCGGGGAAATGATAAGAGGAAAACCAAAAAAGACATGCTTCCGCCAAAAGTGTGTATAGTAGCACGTACCTGGAGATCTTCGGCGATATGAATCTATACTTGGCCTTCCGGTAAAAGCATCCTCTTCACGGCTCCATCTCGCGTCAACCTTAGCTGAGGTGGGAGGGGGAGATGCAAAAGGATCATAAGACTCCATTGTGAACAAAAACGCTTCCGACTAAGCCTTGCTGTGCAGCAGATGACGAGTAAATCGTTTGTTGTCTCCAAGGTGGGATTAACAACTTAGGGGTATTGTTACTCGCAAGGGAAGCGCGGGAGAAACGATCCTCCTGGATAGGCTATGTCACCGCAGGACAAAACTTGTGAATATGGCAACTGAAGGAATGGAAGATGGAGCTATGAGTTGACATTTTGAGGGTTAGAGTGGTGTTTTAAAAGTAATGAGCTGAAAGGAAACTAAGGGGTCGAGGTGAGGAAGCGTAGTTAAATAGAGAGAATAAAAAGGGGCTGAAGAAGAGACGAGTCTAAAGGCGACGAGAGGCAATTTCGATTGCTGAATGATGGCTAAAAGAAGCCTGTAGAGACAATAGCATCAAATAACTAATATGAAGGAGAAGCTCGCTGGGCAAGCTCAAGGAGCAAGATCCGCCTGCAAAGAAATGGCAGGATGAGTGGGAAAAAAAGTGACAAGAATGGAGAGGGAAATACGGATGATAATAAGAAATTAACAGAGTAAGACGAGCGACAGGGTCCTGGAAAGGGAGAGAGGATAAGGAAGAAGGGGTGTATTGAGTAAAACGAAGATAAACGGGCCAAGGTTAACAGGCAAATGACAGTGGATGATGAGGCGAGGGAATGATGAAGGGCAGGGACAGGAGGGAGAAGAGGTAGAGGCAAGGCAACCTACAAGAAGCCTGAATAAGACCAATCCCTAAGGTGTCAAGCAAGACACAGAATCTATCTCAGGGAGGGCTGATTAAATTGGCGCTGCGAGGTGATGAAAGTGGATGATGAGGGCGACGTTTGAGATGTGGAGTTGGCGATGGGCGGAGGAGGTTTGGTTGGAGTTGAGGCTGAGTCACGTGGTGGATTGTTAGTCATCATAATTAGTCATTCGAGTTGTGCCACAATTCCCGAAATTCAGCGGCGAGGCAAATCCATGGATAATCATATAGTTAAACGGGCGCAATATCTCAATAATGCAAAAAAGCATTTAAGCTGTTAAGAAAGCTGCAGCTGTGAAAAATAATTACTGTCAAGAGCCCCGCCAAAATCGCTATACAATCCTCACAGCCAACCCCCTTTCACATATTACTTCCAGCAGGGCAACTGGCCTGGAATAAAATCCTTTCCCAATTTCCCCGCAACACTCGCTCCTCCAGGAGACGTCATAATCAATCGTTTTAATCAGCGGCTCTGCCGCCTTCAAATACAGACCCCTAATTGATGACGAGGTCGCATACCGCACATCATAGCGGGGGATGTAGAACAGTGTCCAGTTGAAGAGGAATTATAGGCCCTCAGGTGTGCGGATGAGGCTGGGTGCTTCAACCAGCGGGCCATCACTTTCATCGCGGTCGAGAGTAGTGACTGGGTCACCGAACTTAGTCACGCCATCCCTTTCGACATTCTGAACGTATATTGGCATCCCGACAATCAGGGGCTTGCCATTGTTGAAGTCTCCGCCGTTCCGGTGCTGTTGCCGTCCGTTTTATACATGACTCAGCCGTAGGAGACTTGGTCGAGGAAACCTGCTGGGTTGGTCGTGCTGCCTTGTTGGGCCAACGGTTCCTGCATGGGGTGATATGGCCCAGCGGGACCAGAGCCTTCGGAGATGGCAAACACCACGCATAGGCGGCGGAGAGACTCCTTTGTTTTCTCCCGAATAGTGAAGAACCAGTCTTCCGTCGTCCTCTATCAAGGGCTTTTTAGTCATCCGGTCCCGGAAGCTGTGGAAGTTTACGATAAGAGCCCATTTACCACTATCGATATGGAGCGGTCTAGTATGCCACTCGATACAGAAACCTAGTTGGAAATTATTCACATACCCGCTGAATATAACATCCGGATCCCAGTAATATGCTCTTGTTTCCCATGGTGCAATGCTTGCCATTGCCAGTGCGTCCGTGTCAAGCATAGTACAGGTTTCGAAATCGCTGGACCTTGCCACTTGAACCCTTTTGTTGTATTTATTCGTGCAAAACGCATACCGGTCAGTTCCGGGTTTAGCAGATCCAGGATCCGCAAAAGTCAGTCCCAACCACTTCGCGGTCACCAGGAGCAGCAGAGCGAAGTTGAAGAACAGCTGGAGAGACAGAAACAGTTTTGATAGAAAAGAAAACCGTGAAGAGATGAATCAGTTGTAAAGTGAGTAAAGAGAGTCTTCGCATCTTCAAGGTGATTTTTTTTTTCTTTCTCCCTTTGTTGTCCTCAACAATGAACAAGTTGTTCGTTCTCCTGTCTCTTGCTTTTTATCTGAAAGGAATGCACAAGGTGCCCAATCGAGAGAGCGCTTATTGAAAGGCTTCCGCCAAACTGGCGGGAAAGTCGCCTTATATAGAAAGTATAGTTACATCCTTCTCTAACTACAGGAAACTGCCAATCCTTGGTAATATTATCTAATCCAAGTCAATTGAGCTCGGCAAGAGACATTCCCTCAATGCCCTGATAGCCTCATACCCTCATATATCAATCACCTTGGTTAGGAGCAGCGAGATTGGCACTTGTAATAGCCCTTGATATGGCGGCAAGTCCATGGCCAACAGACATGACTGACAGAAACCTCAGTCTAAAGGTTGGAGCTTTGCCAAGGGTCACTCTTGTCTTCAATTGCAAACCCAATGGCATGGGTAAAAGACCTGTTCATATGCTTGCTGACTGACTGACTTGTATTGATATATAATTTGACTGGGCGCATTTGTGGTCAGAGTTATCAACAGTGAACAACAACATGTGGGATTTGGCAAGGCTGTCCTCATCAATCTTATCACCAGCCCTGGTGCTGGATTAGGAAGCCAGGGAATCTCGGAAGTGCGCCCTGCCTATCCCTATAGGGATGACGGGATGAGTCCCATTTTCAACCCCGGCGAGTAATGAAATTTGGTATTCTCATTTCTATTGTTGAAAGATGGTGAATGGGCGAAACTTTACTCTCTCCACGTGAATCCCATGTATCTGGTCGTTGTCGTCGTGTAGTTGGTTGCCTGTTTGCGCTTTTGATGCTGTTGTGATGTTGTCACGAAGGCATGTTTTTGGATTCAACTTGCAAAAAATTGGCGGCACCTAGAAAGTCTGTTACATATGCAAGTCCGATAGCGCTGCTTCAACTCCACATGCACGTCTGAGTTGATTGCACATGTTCACGAAGTTTCCTCATGAGATGTGGTTCTGGAATACGAGCTGTTGACGAACCGTGGGAAAAATAATCAACATGAAAGAGGACAGTCTGCTGAATATTTGCCGGGGAATACCATTGTGATCTCGTACAAACGGAACCTTAATTCGAGCAACCAGAGTTCACTGTTCCGCCAAAAGGATTGTACAATTGCCCTTTTTGAAGATTGCAGTTGCAGGAGCACAGCTGACAGCTCCTTCAAGGTCTTTCATGCCATGCCCAACCAATGCCTCCATATCTCTAATCTTTAATATCTTCCATTAAGACCTTAAAATTTCCTAACACACAGCAAAATTATTGTGGATGTATAGTAACCTCTTATGGGAAATAGCATCAGTTCGCAGGTAATGGAAGTTGCTGGACGGCTGTATGACTTGTTCAGGTAAAACCACGTCTGATTTATAACCAAGGGTTACCTTATATTCGGCCACAGATATATCTACCTTCTTTGTTCATAAATGTTTAAGTTAATTGAATATAGATAAATCTGAAAAAGTAAACACGCATGAGAAGCGCAGCCCGTTTCAGCCTAGTCCAGTGCAGCCCACTCAGCTCATCCAAGCCGACAGATAATATATATACATCCATTCTCTAGCGGAAGGGGGAAGTAAAAATGTCGTAAAGAGCACCAAAAGCAAAGCGTAACCCGTACATCCCTTGGAAGAATGTTATACATGCGTCAAACCGTAGAAAATGCAAAGAACCGAAATGTAGGTATACATATAGCAGCACATGGGGAAATCAAAAGAAGCAAAACCATTCCTAAAATAAATGAAACGGAAACACGAACCATTACCAATAACAGGTGACAAGCAACCATTACATAGAACTCTATATATGGTAGATACAAATGAAATAATAGCAAAACCCGAGAAAACCGATCCTCAAAATTGCGCCGTTGACAGTTTCACAGTTCACGATTTAGGAAGCTTCCAATCCAACGCGAATGATTCAAACGGCACGCCTCGCATGGAATTCGTATTCCTACCCGACTCCGTATATAGCACCGGTTCAAAGTCGCACACGGATGCATATGCATGGATCAGCTCGCGCCAGTAGCACGCCTCTGCCGCCGGTGTCAGGTATAGGTCTCTGAACGTTCGCACTGAGTTCTCTGCGATCTTCTCCGCCACGTCAGGATTGTCGAGCAGGTAGTGAATTTTCGACTCTAAGTCAGAAAAGTCCCGCTTCACTTTGACGTAGTTGGCGTTTGGACCTGTGGCGATGAGAGCGGGATGGTGTGCTTCACGCCAGGTGAGTTGGTGCGCGACGAAGACGGAGCGGCAGTTTTGAATATATTTCCCGCGTCCTGAGTAGCTGCGTCCTTCGACGTGGGCAAGAAACATATAACGGCAATGGTCCTCAATGGGGATGTAATCTTCCCGCATGCTCTGCTCGTTCGCCCAGTCGAGAGCGCGAACAGAGGCCCAGGATTTCCCCTTCGTAGCGTCGACGAGACTCTGGCGGAGCTCGGGGGCTGTTTCGAGGTTACCGCGCCACAGGAGTTGCTTTTTTTTATCCTGGAATTTCAGAGCTTGTTGTGTTTTGCCGTTTATGGTGGTACCTTCATCGATGGCGGCGATGCGCTTGCGAACACTGCGGTATTGGCCTGCCTTTATTTCTGGCCATGACCAGTAGCCAAAATCAGGCATGAGCCAGGCCCAACTGTCACTTTCCCGTTTGGAATAAACCCAGACTGGATGTGGATCGTCGTGGAAGTCTTCAGCTGTGAAGATGAATTCGATGTTAGGTATTTCTTGTCGGTTTGGTATAGCATTCAGTGCGCGGTTCAAGGAGTGCAATGACGCTTTTGCCCGCGTGAATGTGAATGCCATATCTTCGAAATTGATGATAGAAAGCTGGTAAAATAAAGAGATATATGTTAACTAGGGCACGTATATTTCCCATGGCTCGATGAACCCACACTTTAAGTAACAGTCAGTAACAATAAAACACCGAATACGCACCTCCCCTTGGTATATCATAGCCCTAACCATCGAATGCTTCAATGGCTCAGAATTCAGTTCGTCAAGCGTGATATTCCTTCCTCTCCTCGCCACAACTGCCTTCTCAATCTCAACATAAAGTTTCGGGAACGCCTTTTGACATTGCGCCCTGCTCAAGCCATAGTTATCTCCGTCCCGCTGTGTCACAAACTGCCATGGGATATCTCCAACTCTGGCGCTGTCACTATCACTATTGTTGGTAACCGGAGGCTCTGCGGGTCGACATCGTGGTATTTGAGACTGAGATGTTGGTAGATAGAGTAAGCGGCAGGTGTAGATGCGAGATACAAATGCATAAAGCACTCCAAGGATTATGACCACAGAAAACGCAGCGAGGGTGACGTAGCGGCCTGATAGCCCGAGACGAAGCATATTTCAATTGCCCCAATTCTGTTAAATTTATCCGCTCTTTGATTTATTTTCCTACTCTGGCTTTTCCCCTAAATGCTTCACGTCCCGTTGACCATACACAGCAGTGGTGTTTTAGACTATCCTCAGGTTTTGGTTCCTGACTTCACCAAACAATTCCACCTGCTGTCCATTCAGGATGACTGGGTTCTGTAAAGAGCGAATTTAACGACCGTGGAAACGATTGAAATAATCGGTGTGAGGTGGAATTGGGGCGAGGGACAACAGTTGAAATGAAGTTGCCAAGAGGTGGTTTGGTTATAAAAAACCCCGAGCTCCACTTAGAAGAACAGGTTTTTATTTTCTTTTTCTTTTTTAGTTAGCTAGTTACACATTAGTTAGTTATAGGGCAACAAGTCCATAACCGCCGCACCAAATAAATCTGGACTGGAGCCCCTTCACGGCCTACTGATAATGGCTCTTGACAGGGTCTCCAGATGATAGTTACATACATTACATGGCCTCCTTGGGCTTTGAAGGTGCTTATTTTGAACTATCCCTGCTTACTATTCAGTGGTTCTCTCACCTTCTGAGGGTCACGTCCCCCCTCACCCCGCTACAATGCTGGATCTAGATTGGCATGCCTTCAGCCTGTGCGGTTCAACTGGTTATCGCAAAAAAAAAAAAAGAAAATTCATGGACGATATGCGGATGACCCACTTTCAACGTCGTGGCGCCTTGGCCAAGGCAGACTGACGACCCTAACACTTGTTTCGAATTATGGAGCATTCGAAATTTATATGGATGTTGTTCACTTTGTTCTGAGGATATTATTTATAGAGAGAGATTGTCATGTGGAATATTAGGAGCGAGGAGAAGTGAACCTTCATCCGTCAGAGTAGAACTAAAACAAATTGGGGGAAAAAGAAAAAATCTCATAAATCATTAAAAATCATCATGGATGCAGTTTACATCCAACACATGACTCCGGATGCTCAGCACTCTGATATATGTCCGGCCTCGGTTTCCCGGATACATTTATGAATCCCACACAGCCTTTATCCAGACGGAAAATAGCATGGTCCACCAAAGTATATGTTCCCGGAACAACCATCTTCGAATCGAAAATCGACGCCGCACCGGGAGGGACGGTGGCTGTTTGTACGTTTTGTGCAGGGGTGCTTAGGACGTCGCCATCGCGGTACAATTTGTGAAACGTACTGCCGATGATATGTGGAGAGCTGGTTAAATTTGGTCCTGCATTGCCAAAGAAAACCCGGATGGTTTCGCCCGTCTTTGCTTTCAGAGGGTTATCCAAAGTGAGAGCTGTCTCGCTGCCGTTGAAGACGATGACATCCGGGTCCTCACGAAGGGCGTTTGGATATGAGAACTCCACCAGAGTTGATCGCTTGCCGTTCTCCTCAATCTCCGGCGGCTCATGGTAAAACTCGCTTTGCATTACGTAGTACTCCCGATCGACTTTCGGGAGTGTGTCCTTTTCCGGCTGCACGTAGATGAGCCCGTACATTCCGTTGGCAATATGCACGGGCACCGGAGCTGCTGCGCAATGGTAAAAGAACAGCCCAGGATACATCAACTTGAATCTTCCTGTTTTGGTCTGGTTCTCTTCTGCTGTCGTTAACGCCGCTCCTCCCCCCGGACCTGTAAAGGCGTGAGAGTCAATGTTGTGAGGGTTGCCGGAGACATCCTTATTTGTCAGTGTTAACTCGATCACGTCCCCGACACGGGCTCGTATGAATGGACCCGGGACTTTGTTATTGAAGGTCCACTGCTCATATTTGTATGTGTTCGTGAGCTGACTAATCTTGGTGCTTGTTGTTAAAGGCACTTTGAGGAGAACGGGGTAGTCCCTGGTGATAGGCGGGGGAACATTCGGTGCGAAGGAGAGCTGCGCCTCCTCTTTGGGAAGATCTGATATGTCCAAGGACGATGCTACCATATCAACAGGGTTTACTTTCTTTGCGTTATATTGAGCGGGGTATTCCCTGATGGATTCCAGCTGGACAGTGTTCCCAGGTGGTCTAAGTAATATAACACCAAATCCTATCGCGGCGGTAAACACAGCGAAGATGCGTAATCGGGAATGCTTGGATGGGGTGTTCGATTTGCCCGTCCAGAATCCACGCGCCCGAGCCCACCTAGTATCTCGTGAAGATGGGCGACGACACAAGAAGCCCATTTGACGGTAGCCCGACGCCCAGCGCCCAGGAGAGCAACAGCATCCAGTTGACGGGTCTAGTGATCGGCGTAGATTGTTCATTGTATCGATTGATCGATTGACCTCTGAAGACCTGTTTTACAGACAAGAATGGGGGAAAGGGGAGAGACTGCTCCTCCGTATTCAAGGGGGGAAGAAGCCAGCTTTTCTCCTACGATGGAGGAGCAGTTTGCACAGCGAGAACTGATAAAGATATTTATTATTGCCCCTCGAGTGAATTACAACCTGCAGCTTGCAACCTATCAGGTCAGTTGACTGGCTGAGGAGGTCACCGGACATTCACATTAACCTTCCCTTATTCTTTCGCTTGTCAAGAATCATACCCAGTGGGTTTAGAACTAGTTGCGCCGTTTGGGCGGAGAGCTGATCACTGCTAGACCCTCTAGCCGATATGGCACGCGAAAAGTAGTTAGTAGTCTGGTATTAGCTTGCTGAGATGCACCTCTTAGAAGCTGCCCTGCAATCAAGCAGTATCATGAGGCGGGGAAGGTTCAGGCCCGCGGAGATCCTGAACACAGCGTTGGGAATATTTCTTTTTCCAAAGCTTGGAGATACGAGATCGATTTGAAATACTCCGCACGGGGGCTTCCGTGGGATTTATGGGAAGCATGAGATAGACCATAGACCATTCCAATTCGATTAAAGATATTACTGTAGCTTCTTTAGCAGCGCACATTGTATCTTTCTGACGAGGGTCTGAGTTTATCTACCACAGAGATATGCACAATAAAAATCAGGACTTTAGTCGAACTCTTTACATAGGCTACAAGAGCATCCAAAATCCAATCATCATGGCGGCTACGGCGCCATATCACGGGAATGTCGTCCCCCAGATGCAGGGAAACTCAATGTTTTTGCCCCAAGAAAAAAACATTATTCCCATTGTCAAGGAGAAAGCTAGGGTCTAGATTGCGCTCATAGTGGGAAAACGGGACATGACGTCATTGACATCTAGTTGGAGGCAGCAAACATTGGTCGAAGAGCCAAAGGATGATGAATAGATTTTCTGGTTCGCCAATGGATGGATCTCTTTGACAGGTGGAGACAATGACGGGCCCTTGCTGAGTGGAAATTAACTTTGGCAATTAATAACATAGCACAGCAGCAGCTTTTGAAACCAACAGGTTGGCAGACAGAGAGAAGGCTATTCATATCCTTTTATTGCTGAGTTATTGAAGACGTTTGAGATCTTTTGACGTATGTTGGAGGTTTTGGATTTGATGCACTCGAGACCCTGGCAGCGCGCTGATTAATAAGATATGTATGTGGCTGGTAATCAAGAGATGACCCACATATCCTAAGCCCAAATAGCACATTTATGCCCAACAACTACAATCCCTCTCTCTTCAAACTGACACTAAACTTCCTGGTATGATGATGCACATTGTCAGCTCCTGATTTTGATGTTCTATTTTTTTATTTTTCAATGAAATTGGCCTATGATAGTTTTCCCTGCACAGGCCCCATATGAAAAGTAGCCTTCTCTTATAGATTCTTCAAAGTGAGAGTGATGGTGTATATCTACTGTTGAATGCGGAGGAAACCTCGGGATAGTAAAGCTGCTGAAAGGTTTTAGTTTATATCTTTCTTCTTGTGTGTTTTTCACAATCATTTTTGCAGCTGTTTCTCAGTCCTTGCAAATGTTGCTGCAACAATGAGTGGAAATGCCACTGTAGCCTCTGCGTAGACCTATAATCAATTGTCAGCTATGCACAATGAATGTTGCATTGATTAGGCCAGTGGATAGCAATCACACCTTTACATTCTTTGCATCTGCTTTGATCTTTCCCCATGACACAGCTTCATCTGGCTGGGCACCAGCATCACTCCCATCAAACTCCTGTGCTGTGTTGATGTAAACTGCGCTCTCCGCCCCATTCCGCATCAAACATGCATTAGCAATATGGTGCTTAACCACCCCGCCGCCCAGAATAATCATCCCCACTCGTTTGGCCCGCACAGACATTGTGTTGATCTTCCGCAAGTCTTCCACAATGTCAACCCGCAGCTGCTGCGGAGAAGACTTGAATGTGTGGAAATACATCATATCCCCCATGCTGCCGTCAGTCAGCGCTGGACAAAACACTGGTATGTCATTCTTGTAAGCCCAGTAGTAGACTGAGTTTTCATTGTTGATCTCCTTCCCTAGTCGGTGGATTATCTTGCTTGGTGTCCAGTGGAGCTGGTGATCTGTCCCCCATGATGCCTCCTGCTCCTCCAGCATCTTGTCCAAGATTGGCATCAACCAGTCTTCAAAAGCACAGTAGTTGTTGTTCGGTACAATCAGGTTACCAATCCGGTTCAGGCCTTTGGCTCGGAGTGACTGTCCTGGAGTTGAGAAGGAGCCCAGGTAGGTGGGGGCAAGGCATTTTATAAAGTCCTCTTCAACTCCGCCCGCTGTAGTGACAATGGCAGAGATATGTTTATGTTGGACCAGGTATCGGAACGTCTCTCTCAAGCCAGAAGATATTAAATTCGATGTGTAACCCAGAAATATAGTGGTTTTTCCCCCAGTCTCCGGGTCGCGCCAGGCTCTCTAGAATAGGAAAATGTAACGGGTTAGATATATGAAGGGAAAAAAAAAAAAAAAAAATTCTACGTTATGTGGTGGAGGGCTTTATATGATGTGACATATATATTCACGCACCATTTCATTTATGATCTGCACTGCGTCGCCCACTGCGCTGGCCTGGAATCCCATCTCGGCCATTCCATCTACCAGGTCTGCAACGGTGATATCCTTTCCAGTATACTGGTTGAAATCAATGCCGTTGACTTGTCTTGACCCCTCAGGAACAGACTGGGAGTTGATGAAAACAGCATTGACTGCCGATGAAGGAGCGCTTTTAGATTGTGAATTCATAGCTGTAAGTGTCGTGCAGTTAGGGGTTCTCTGACTGTTTTCCTAGACCAAACTGGAGGCCTTGGGGATGCAGAATGGGTAGATAGTAGTTATATGTACAAAGTGCGGTAACTGTACTGTGTGTAGTTACTGTTCATGTAGTTATGTCTGTACCCCAGCTTTATTATTTTCTTTATTTCTTCCTTTTACTTATATGTAATCATTCAGCTTGTCCAGTTAGATAATATAGAAGACAATCAATTCCCTCTACAAGCATGCTTCACTCGCTTCTCTCACTTTTCAAGCTTGAGACCGCTCGCCACGCCTGTGGCTCCCTTGCCAAAACCTAAAATCCCGGGCCGCGAAGCTGTGGCTGACACATCCAACCCTCAAAATATGTAACTGCTGACACGAGGAAGACGGATATCATTCTTAACTGTTACATCAGGTTAGGATAGTTGGATTTTTGACGTGTCTAGGTGCCGATTTTTGCAGCTGTGAATGTCCCCGCATAACGGAGACCGAGTGGCTACGTCTCCCTAAATTAGATACCCACATTTCCTCTCTCCCAGGATTCTGCTCACCGTCTCTCCCTCGGTCCTGTAGATGATGTTGATTGTTGACAGACTTCAGACACATTTGCAGAGAAGCATATTACCAGGCTAATTCCGCGGCCCCCCCCCCTCCCCAACAAATTGTGCGTCGACATCGAAATCATACCACCAAGGTATATGTCCTTGTGTTTTAGTCTCGATCCGTTTGCGAATCCGTCACCCCGGCATACTTCCCCTCGACAGTCGCGATTAGGTTGGTTGCCTGACTCGATACCTAGAGATTGGGTTTGGAGGAGGCGAAGAGGGAGTGAGTGTATGGGGCACAGGCGAAGATGGCGCCAGGCGGAGGAGGAAATATTAAGGTGGTGGTAAGAGTACGGCCGTTCAATGGCAGAGGTTAGTTTTTCCACAATCCTCTTCTTTGCCCCTGGATTTCGTGCCACATGCGTGACTGCATCTCGCTCCACAGGCGCTGCGGTTACAAGTCTTCTGTTGGATGAGAGGACATTCAAGATACCTTATGCTAACTGGGAATATTTACAACCCTCGACAGAACTGGACAGGAAAGCGAAATGCATCGTTCAAATGAAAGGCACGCAAACCGTGCTTATACCCCCACCTGGAGCAGAAGAAAAATCACGGAAAGGTGGGAAACAAGGTGGTGGTAGCGTCGAAGGTCCGAAAGTATTCGCGTTCGACAAGTCTTACTGGTCTTTTAATCGCAATGATCCCCATTTCGCTGGCCAGGATGACCTCTTCAATGATCTGGGCGCGCCGTTGCTGGACAATGCGTTTCAGGGATATAATAACTGTATTTTTGCCTACGGACAGACTGGGTCGGGAAAATCGTATTCCATGATGGGATATGGCGAGGAAGCCGGTGTGATCCCCAAGATTTGCAAGGATATGTTCAACCGAATCTCTGAAATGCAATCCTCCGACAAGAGTCTAATTTGTACTGTGGAGGTGTCATATCTCGAGATTTACAATGAAAGGGTCAGGGATTTACTCAATCCTGCAACCAAGGGAAACCTCAAAGTTCGAGAGCATCCTTCAACTGGTCCCTATGTTGAGGACTTGGCGAAATTGGTTGTGCGCTCGTTCCAAGAAATTGAACACCTGATGGACGAAGGCAATAAGGCTCGAACCGTCGCAGCAACGAACATGAACGAAACATCTAGTCGATCACACGCGGTCTTCACCCTTACAGTCAGCCAAAAGCGCCACGATACGGAGACCACCATGGATACTGAAAAAGTTTCCCGTATCAGTTTGGTTGACTTGGCGGGTTCAGAGAGAGCTACTTCAACTGGCGCAACCGGCGCACGTCTGAAAGAGGGTGCGGAGATCAATCGTTCTCTCTCTACTCTTGGTCGTGTCATTGCAGCATTGGCAGATTTGTCCTCCGGAAAAAAGAAAAATGCTTCCATGGTCCCATACCGGGATTCCGTTTTGACTTGGCTTCTTAAAGATTCTTTGGGTGGTAACTCGATGACTGCTATGATTGCGGCTATATCGCCAGCCGACATCAACTACGACGAGACGCTAAGTACACTGCGCTATGCGGATTCCGCCAAGAGAATCAAGAACCATGCCGTCGTTAACGAGGATCCCAATGCAAGAATGATCCGTGAACTCAAGGAAGAGCTTGCACAGCTCAGGAGCAAGCTTGGTGGAGGGGCGATTTCCGGAAGCTCTGGTGGCTCTGCTGGCGGTGCTCTTGCTGAAGAAATCTACCCACCTGGCACTCCGCTAGAACTACAAATGGTATCTATAGCTCAAGCTGATGGGACAATTAAAAAGGTTAGCAAAGCAGAAATTGTTGAACAACTGAATCAAAGCGAAAAGCTTTACAAGGATCTCAATCAAACCTGGGAAGAAAAGTTGCAGAAAACCGAAGAAATCCACAAAGAGCGTGAAGCAGCATTGGAGGAATTGGGCATTAGTATTGAGAAGGGGTTTGTCGGGCTCAGCACTCCCAAAAAGATACCTCATCTTGTTAACCTCAGCGATGATCCTCTCCTTACCGAATGCTTGGTATACAACATTAAGCCTGGGACAACTACTGTCGGCAACGTCAATACTGCTGCAACATCAGAAATTCGACTGAATGGCTCTAAAATACTTCATCAACATTGTAGCTTCGAGAATGTCGATAATGTAGTCACTATCGTTCCTAATGAGGGAGCTGCGGTAATGGTCAACGGTTTGCGAATAGATAAACCCAAAAGATTACGAAGTGGTTTTCGAATCATTCTAGGTGACTTCCATATATTCCGGTTTAATCATCCACAAGAAGCTCGCGCCGAAAGAGTGGAGCAGAGCCTCCTCCGCCACTCTGTCACCACCAGCCAGCTTGGGTCTCCTGCTCCGACAAGGTCAGGACATGACAGATCGATGAGCAAAGCTGGGTCAGAAGTTGATGGTGATTCCAGCAGGGCTGAATCTCCCTTACCATCACAACGAGGTCGAGATTCCGATTGGTTCTATGCCCGAAGGGAAGCTGCAAGTGCTATTTTGGGACCCGATCAGAAAATTTCACATCTTACCGATGATGAACTTAATGCATTGTTTGACGATGTGCAGAAGGCCCGAGCAGTGAGGCGCGGACGGCCAGAAAGCAAACTTATTGACGGTGAAGATGATTCGGATTCGCTTAGCTCATATCTTGTGCGGGAAAAGTACATGTCAAATGGAACTATAGACAATTTCTCTTTGGATACGGCTCTTACCATGCCGGGGACGCCACGGCAAGCTGAGGACGACGACGGAGAGTCAGACAATTCCGCGCTTCAATTGGTTCGTGATGACCTGCAACGGCAGCTTGAAAAGCAAAAGGATGAGTGTAAAGGAAAGCCTAAAGTAGTGGGGACCGCATTACTGTCTGTGGAAGAGTTACTTGCAGAAAAATTGCGCATGGAAGATGCTCTTAAGGCCGTGAAGGAAGAGTTCCAGCAACAGTTGCAAAAACAAAAAGAAGAGTTTGAAATGCAGACAAAGGAGAGGGCATTTTTAGCTCCACAAAGGATGTTTGAAAACGGATTCACTCAGCTCGACCCAGAAGAGATTCCAATAGCTAAGTCGGTTGTTCTGCATTGGCGACAGCGGAATTATGTTCGCATGGCAGAATCTGTTCTTCAATACGCCTCACTACTCAAGGAAGCACAGGTCATGAGTCAGATAATGGACAAACAGGTTGTTTTCCAATTTGTCATCGTCGATGTGGGGCACAACATGGCGTCATCCTACGATCTGGTGCTGAATGGCATTTCCAGTGATGACGACGTCACCCTAGAGGACGCACGGAAACCGTGTGTTGGAGTTAGGGTAATTGATTTCAAGCACAGCGTCATATATATCTGGTCGATTGACAAGCTCCAGCGGCGTGTTCAATCAATGCAACAGATGCATCAATATATCGATCGACCTGATTACATCCAGCACTTCAAGCTCGAAAATCCATTCTCTGAGACTTGCACCCCTCAATATTCGCTAGTAGGTGATGCTGATGTTCCGTTAGCTGCTGTGTTTGAGTCGAGGGTGCAAGATTTCTGCGTTGAAGCCATCTCGCCGTATACCCAGAGCGTTGTTGGGATTATTAAACTATCTTTGGAGCCATCTTCCGCACAAGCACCTTCGTCAACTCTCAAGTTCAACGTGGTCATGCGGGATATGGTAGGGTTTGCGGAACGCGAAGGAACTGATGTACATGCTCAGCTCTTTGTCCCCGGTGTTTCGGATGAAGGCGGTGCCACAACGACACAGATGATTCGTGGCTTTGATGAAAACCCGATTAGGTTCGAGAGCGTTCATAGTATGAGCCTTCCTCTCAATAGCCCAAGAAGTTCAACTTTGAAAGTGAGCATTTATGCGTCGGTTACGACGATGCATCTTGACAAGCTGCTCAGTTGGGATGAAATGCGCGACTCGCCCGAAGAACCGCCCCAGAAAAGGAAGACGCCACGGATTCCCGAGTCGGAATTCTATCAGGAAGAGCGTCATGATGTGTTTGTTCGAGTGCAAATCCTGGAACTGTCTGAGAATGGGGAATACCTCCCCGTTGAGGTTGTGCAGAGCAATAGTCTCGACGCTGGCACTTATCAACTTCATCAAGGATTACAGAGACGCATTGTGGTCAGTCTGACCCATAGCTCAACTGAGAACCTGCCGTGGGAAGATATCACTGCTTTGAGAGTTGGTACCGTTCGGCTTCTTGATCCATGGGGAAAAATTCCGGATGTGGACCAAAAATCTGCGGATGTCCTTCTACAATTGATACAAGAACCAATGGTAACTGACAACGCTGACGGGACGTCTAACGTAACCCTTGTTGGACAGTGGGACTCCAGCCTTCATGGGTCATTATTGCTTGACCGAACGACTGCGGACAGATACAAAGTCCAAATATCCCTTCGCTGGAACTTGATTTCACCCCGTCTTCAGGATCATATTATATTTGAGCTCGAT